CCTGGAGACAATGGCCAGTATGAGCCGTTCCATCACTTTTCCGGGGACGGAGGGTCTCTGGACTCTGTGAACTGGAGTTTTGTGGAAAGCTTTGACTCTCCCACCCTGTGTTCAGGAGCAAGGTAGTGGACCTGGCAGCACAGCAGCCTCCAGGTCACAGCTCTCCCCAGGCTGCCCAGGTGCTCCCAACAATCCCCCCGTTGGCAGAGAGGCCAGCATGTGGCAGGTAAGTGGTGGTCGCCCTGGCACCTCCAGGGCAATGCAGCCATGTGCCATTCCCTGCTAGGCACCAGGGTGTCCTGGCATTGCCCAGGCCAGCCCCATAGCTTGCCATCCCGACTCCGCAGGGCTGAATGCAGAGTTCTGCTGGCCCGCGCCGCGAGCAGTGGGCAGGCTCCCCATGCATCAGAGTAGCACCCTATGGCAGACTTGGTGCTTCCCTCACTCAGCTGGCCACAGTCCAGGGCTTGAAGGGTACAAGTTCAGGGCAGGGCTGCGCTGGGGACCTTGGGCAGGCCAGTTCGTGCTGAAGATGGGGGCAGTCACTTGTGCTCTGGGTGAAGCAGAAACCAGCCGAGTGGGCTTCCTGCTGTGCCCTGGCCTCTGAGGGCAAGCCCGGGCTGGGATCCGTGCTTCCCCGCTTGCTCCGTGGAGTTAATGAATGTTTAACACCAGTCCCGTCCCCCTCACCTCCTCCTGCCAACAGCCGTCTGGCACGGAGCCGCGCTGGCCTGCACATACGCATGCACCTTGCCGATATGCAGTTGGTGGGCTGTGCAAAGGGAAAGGCTTGTGCGTCTGCGTGCAGAAAGACATGCCCCTACTGTCCTGCCACCAGTGTGTGCCCAGAGACTGGCGCACAGGGGCACGTGAAGCAGCTGCATGGCCACCCATACGCACATACGCACATAGGGCTGGAGAGATTCACTTCATCTTCCAGCTCATGGTGGTGCCTCCCCATCTGCCGTGTTGCCCGGTGCTCCCGGGTTGGTAAATGGGCATCTTGGAGAGGTTCATTCAGCCCCTCTTGGGGCATACGAGTGGCAGCAAATTCCACGCTAGCAGGTAGGGGAGAGCTGGGCACCCCCATGGGCACTGTTCCAGCTCCAGGTTGCTGTGTGCTCCCTCCAAATGCCATGTGCCCATGGATGCTGGGTTTTCTGCATGTCCCAAAGCTGGTGAGGTGTCACTCGCCCTTCCACAGGACTGCAGTGCTAGCCCCGGCTGACTCACCAGCGCCAGGGTGCCAGGTGAGCAGACATCAGTCTCCTTTGGCCAGAAAAAAACAGGCGCAGGGGAGAGGGATGGTCTCGGTGGTGCGCACATGCAAGAAAACACATGGTCCTGCCCTGGGAGGCCATCACCTCCCTCTGCCTGGCCATCCTCATAGAAATACTGTCCCCATCCCTGTCCCCCCAAGCACACAGACCTCTCTGCCCTCGTATCCCATCCCAGCACTTGCTAACCCCTTGGCCCTACACATACACACTTGGCCCACCGTGTCCCTAGCCCAGCAGGGTGGCAGGGCCTCTGCAATGCCCAGGTGCTGTGTCCCATGCAGGACTCATGCACTCGGGCAGCTGTAGCCACATGCCATACTGGTGTCTCCTGCGCCTTTCGCCCCTGAGCTACAGGCGTGGGGGAGCCCTTGGTGACAAGGGACATCTACACACTGCTAAGTCACACATGACATGGCACCAGGGGGCACAGAGTCCTCAGCTCTGGCTCTGCTCCTCATGTCCTGCTGCAGGATGTACCTGAGAAAACCGCCAGATCTGGCGGATACAGGGAAGGGTGTATCTGGAAACAGGAGCTCCAAGCATGGGTGGGAAAAGGGGGAAGGGCCTGTGAAAGCCAGACACTTCCCCACCCTCTTCCCATGCCCTGGATTAAACCCAGCCCCAAGAGCTGCAGAGACCTTGAACACACCGGGGACAAGGAGCAGGCGCCATCGGGAGAGTGCAAAGGTCCGGGCAGGTGGGCCAGGCTCTCCCTGGGCTGTGCATCACCACCCATGCTTAGCGCACGCAGGAGACACCCAGCACAAGCCCTCACACACCCAAGCCTCGGTGAACACAACCCGTGTGCGGGGGACGCCCAGCGAGCTGCACACTGTGCAGACAGGTCCCCACCGCGGTCCCTGTCACCCAAAGCTACATTCACACCAAGGCCTGGGCCCCCCAGGTGGATGGCATTGCTCAGTTCTCCGGCATTCTGCTCTTTTCCCACCACTGTTCCTCTGCACTTTTTCTGTGGGTTTCAGCTTAATCATTGCCCAGGTGGCTGGCGGGGAGTGCTGTGCCCAGCCTCTTGGAGCTTGTTTGTCATCACCCCAAGGTTAAGCAGAGTGAAGGGCAGTGCTGACACATACCATGCTGCCAGTGGACTCTGGGCCTGGGTACTGCCAGTACTTTGCCTGGGCCAGGCTACTACATCCTGTCTTCCCTCGGCCACGTCATGAGGACAGAGTGGAGCCATCTGACCCTCCCCGGTGAAGCAGAACCTGCCATCCCGAGGGCTGTGCTGGAAATGCCACGCGTGATGTCCTCCTGCCTCGGGCCAGCCGAAGAGCTCAGACACACTGTGTGTGGGCTCTGCGGCCTGGAACCAAGGACAGGATAGTGGGGAAAGCAAACACGGGGTGGATCTCCCTGGTTTCCATGTCAGCACTGACAGCAGCCCGGGCAGGCTGAACAACAGAGCTCCTTGTGCTGGGATGGGGTTGCACAGGGCTGTGTCCCGGCCAACGTCTTCCTGTGAGCAGCAGCACCCTCTCCGCCAGCCACAGGCAGAGGCTCTGCTGGCGAGTGGAGAGGCCTGGCCAGAGGGACTGGGCTGGCAGAGCCATTCCTGGCACTCCTGCAAAGCCATTGCCACACAGGAGCCCTGCAAAGGGCACATGGCCCCCAGCGGTCATGGGCTCCCAAGTGCTCACAGGCTCCTATATGGGGCTCAGTAAGTTTGGGCACTGCCTCAAGGACACCCCCCCGACCCAGCTGAGCCTGCAGGGAACCCATCCCTTTCTCAGCACCCTGCAAATTCGGTCCTTCTCTTGCCAAGGGATGGATGTACAATCTGGCATAGCCTGGCCTGGTACCAGGGAGTACCCGCAGGCAGGCAGGGTTTTATTGGAAATGTCGGGAATGGGGGCAGTGAGAGGCAGATTGGCAGCGGGGGCAATGGGCAGCAGAAGGTTAAGAGCTCAGCAGGCCATTTCTGGAGTCAGCAGTGAAAGAGTTAAGTGTCCTGCCTGTTGTTTTGGGGAGGAGGAGAGGGCTTGGTGCCCTCCTACACTGTCCTTACACAGCCCTGACCCCCCCAGCCCCACTCTGGGCCACGCAGAGAGTGGCTGGAGAAGTGAGAAGTAACATAAGGAACCCGGAAAAAACAGGGTGGAGGGAAGAGGCATACCTTGGCAGGGGAGATGTCTGTAATTTTATTTGCAGTGCACTGAAGTCATCTGCTAACACACACATTCTTTCCAAGCCCCTATCCTGAGCGCCAGCCTGAAGACAGAGGCCGTTCCTGCAGCAGACGCACTCGCTTACGCAGACTATCACCTCGCGGCGCAGCCAGCCAGCCGTGGGACACGCTGCTCCGCAAGGACAACAGCGGGCTTGTTCCAGGCCTGCCGGGCCAGCTTCAGCTGAAAAGAAAGTCAGGGGCTGCCCCCGCAAGCTGCAAAGAGGCAAGGAGGCTTCCTGCTTGCCTTTCTCGTAGTTGTGGCAGAAAGTTCACGCTGGGATTTGTTTTCGGGAGGGTGGATTTGTTGGAAAGACCCCCAGGACTGCCCCGCTACTAATGCTGGGTCCCTGGAGGGTGCTGGGGCCAGGCCAAATTGGGCTCCCAGGCCAAACGCTGAGCAGTGGGAGGGCATGTGCTCCCCCGGGGCCCTCCAGCGAGCCTGGTGAGCCCAGGATGAGGAAGTGAAGCAGGCTGGTGGTTTCCTAGCACCTGGACTTTAGACACCTGAACCCATGTTGTCAGGAGCTGCCCTGGAGAAGCGCCCAGAGCCTGTCCTTGCTTCCTCTGTTTGTTCTTCCTGTCTCCTTCCCTCTGTCCTGTGGGCAGCATGACGAAGAGAAGTGGCATCCACCTCAAGCTGCTTGGTGTGGGGCTTTACAGCATCCCCGTGATGCTGCCTGGGGTGACCCCTTGGCTCTGAGCAGGGGGATCTCTGTCCCAACCTGGGGAGTGCAGTATGAGCTCCAGAAAGTCCCGAGCAGGACCTGTTTGCCCCCATTCCAAGATAGCAACGCTGCCATTTTCGTCACTGACCTCGAACATGTGCACGTTGTTGCCAACATCTGAACTTGCCTTCTGGCGCGCAGACAAAGCTGGAATCTTCTTCAGAGACATAGGTTTCCCTGCAAGGCTGGATAGGCAGCATGGTCAAGGATGACAGGGTCACTGCTCAAATATGGTCTTCCAGCCCCAGCATAAGACTTTCTTGGTGGGCATCCGTGGCGGCACACATCATCCTCAGGGCACCCAGACCTCAGCGGGGCAGGAGGTACTTGTGTTTCTCCCCAGCCATGCCACACTGGGCTCTCTGGGCCTGGCAGGTGACCATCACTGTATCTGGCTGCTTTGCTCATGGGTGAAAACCACCAGGGGAGCCGAATCGGTGCCACCTCCAAGCTGCCAGCTCTGGTGGATACTGAGGACAGCTCTGCTGCCACCTCCCAGCACTGCCAACCAGGAAGCCCAGGCTGGGCAGCCAGCTCCCCCATGGGGCTGCCCAGCACTGATCTGACGTTGGTACATCCAGAGCTCCCAGCGAGGACTTCTAGGAGATGACACAGCAGCACTTCTTGCAGCAGGGGCAGTACTTATAGCAGCAGTTTCCCCCATCCACCTTGTGCTCAGGGGCATTCGATGGCTTGTCCAGATTGACTGTGTAGAAGGAGTCAGGGGATGTCCTATTGAGCATCTTCAGGCTGGCATAGGGGTTATATGGCTGAGACCAGGACTTCTCAGTGGAAATGGTCGGACTGTTCCAGCTGGCTGTGTTGGCAGCAGGGTTCTGCTCCTCCGGCCTGTACGTGGGCACAGCGGCAGGGTTGGCAATCACGGTGGCTGAAGAGGGCTCATCTTCCAGGTATCGAGTGATGAAGCTCTGCTGAAACTGGGCCCGTGGGATGTCCACGCTGGCGTAGGGATTCTCGAGGGTGACGCCGCGATGCATGTCCCTGTTCCTCCAGGTTCCTCGTCAGCACACACAGCCCGGCTGGCAGCCGCAGAGCAAGCAGGCTGCCTCTCACCTCTCACCACCTGCCAAAGAGAGACCCCTTAAACAGGACACAGGGGGAACTGCCAACTCCAAAGAGCTGTAGAACATCAGTGCCAAGGGCTGTTCCCACAGCATGGACGAAGGGACTCCCATGTGGGGAGCACGTACAGGGCGCTGCCAGTCCCATGAGCCCCCCAAGCCCTCGACACATGACTGAATGTTTCAGATGTGTGCTCAGGGAGCAGGGACGGCAGAGTGGGAACAGGAAAGCGGGAGGGCACAGGTAGGCAGGGTGCTGGCGTGAAAGAGGCGTCCTGGCAGGGAGGCAGGGTGCCAACAGGGCAGCGGGGCGGGATAAGAGCTTTTGAGGAGGCTGGGGAGAGGATGGGGCTGGGGTGAAGGGCAGGCAGGGGCCAAGAGGGACAGCGCAGGGGCGAGCAAGCAGGAGGGAAGGTGGCTGGGCAGGCAGAGGGGAAAAGGAGAACGGGAGCGGGGAAAAAGCGACACGAACCGGGCCGGGACGGGCAGAGCGGCAGTGACGGGGGCCGCGGGAGCGGCGGGGGGGGCGGGGGGGGGGGGGGGG